TCTTCAGTATAAGCCCATACACTCCAGCATGACTAAGCAAAGTGAAAGAAATATATATCAAACTGAAAAAGAAGTTTTCACATATCTCCGATCAACCAAAGTTAATGAAGGGACTGTATTCAGATTAAGACACATCCGAAGTGACATTTTCGTAGCACAAATCGAGAATTCTTTTAGAAACAATTCAAGTACTGACTTAATTTAAAACAGAAAGACAGTGAGAGATATATCCGATTTCTTCAAAGTAGTTTGTGAGTGAGAACGAAGACTCTCACAATTAGTCGGCAATTAAAATTTTAGAGTTTTTTAAAAAATCTTATGTTATTAAAAAAAAAACAAAAAATCTCATGAAACAGCCCACAATCGCTCAAAGCGAGAAATGTTGTAGCTTGTATGAAGTACCTAAGACCCGACCATAACATAAAGACGTCAAATAATACATGGAATTGGTCATATGAGGAAGAAGCGGAAAAGAAAGATAAAATAGAATTCTTAAGTGCAACTCTACAGTTATTCTCATTTTTAACATTTTTATAGTAGATGGAAAGGTGTTTAATGGAGTAACTCTCGAAAGGAGATGAAGAAGGTAAATTTTACTTAAAAAACATAATTAATTATACAAATTTGGAAGGCAAATAACAAACAAATAAATAATCTTTAATCGGGTGTACAGTTTTTGAGAGAATAGATGGAAGGAGAGTTTGCAGGAATTCAAAGCAAATAAACGTAAGAGGAATATGATACGATGAGTTTAATTTATGTCGTTTGGAAATGTATTACCGAAGAGGAAAGTGGAGAAAGCTTTTAGGGGGTGTTATTCAATCTGTATGTTGAAATCAACTCCACTAGATTAGAGTGGATCAGATTTTAAAATTTTTAGATCAATTCATTTAGAATCTAATGTATATGAGTTGTTTAAAATTTTAAATTACTTAGCAGTATATTTAGAAAGTCACATGCTATCATTTAAAATCTAATAGAAAAAAATTCTCAAAAAATTTTGTCGAAGTAAAAAATTTCACTAGTCTCTATAAACATGGCAACTTTTTCTTTGATGACTTATGGAGAGAGAGAAGAGAGAGAAATATGTGCTAAAGAAAAGAGAGAATACTGAGAAATTGAGTTTTCATAATAAATGGCTTGTTGACTTATGGAAAGAGAGAAGAAAGAGAGAAATGGACTAGGGAAAAAGAAGACGTATGAAGAATGAAAAGACAAAATGGAGGGAAAAGAAAAAAAAATTGGAGGGATGAAGAATGATGTATTCGATGGATTAATACATGGATGGAAGAAAGAAAAAAACAAATGTTAATAATTATTTGTGTTGAATTTTATAATTATCAAAATCTGAGGGTAAAATGTTAGATTTTGATTGCTATATTTAACACATAAAAATAGATTCAAATTCAGTTAAAATCTTTCACTTAAAATCAGTTGTAAGAATCTGTTAAACATGAATAACATAAGATTTTAATTGACTTATTCAACTATTTAATTGAATAACAATGGATTTCAAACTCTATTAATGAAGAGATTGTAAATACATGAACCAATAACATTGGATTTTGAAGGAGAAATCAAAATCAATTATTGAATAACAATAGATTATAGATGGATTTAAACTCTATTAAAAACCATGATTGAATAACACCCCTTAGTTTTTTTTTAAAAAAATTAAGATATTAATTTTTTGTATTGACACGTAGCGCTCTCACCAATGCTGACGTGGCAAACAGCTAGAGAGAGTTGGCTAAGTTTTATATATTAGATTATTATAGTGTGATATTGTTGGATTGATGTTTATATGAATTAACAGATGAATTGACAACATTACTAACGCAAAAAAACACAGCTATGCATTCCTTGTCTGCCCTACATATCAACCAAACAGTTGCTACATCATAAATCTTTGTTTCATACTCGTTTATATGATCATCAACAAACAAAAAGAAATTCTGAAGCTTGTATGAATTCTATCCAGAGTGAATTTAGATATACTTTTAGTTGGATTTGGCCATGAAGACTAATTAATGGTATGTTCTACTTTTTTCGATTATTCAATCAAAGAATTGGGATTAAGTTTCCCTGTTTGTGGCTGTGTGTTACCATTTCTCATCATCACGCCGAATTCTTCATAGTTTATTCTTCCATCCTGCATAAAAGAGAGACCCATTAAAGTTAATGTTGGCTTTAGACTTGCTGCTCATAACTTCTTTGATGCTATGTACAAGGAGAAAAAAAATTCCTTTATCTGTGTCCACTTCTGCTATGATCTCTTTGATGCTAGCTTCATCTCCCATACCATACTCTTTCATGGCTGACTCCAACTCATCCTTTGCTATAAACCTGTGCAAGTCAAATCCACACAGGTGTCAAATACATATCTACAAGTCTATATTTTGCTTGTTCCTCAAGGGACCAAACTTACCCGCTATTGTCTTTGTCAAAATATTGGAAGGCTTTGAATAAGTGCTCATCTCGATCCACTCTGTATCTATGCATCGTCGCTGAGATAAACTCGTTGTAGTCTATTGTTACATTACCATCTACATCAGCCTGGAACATATATTTACAAATAAAAAACAGGCTTCTCTTCTCAGATTTTGTCTTTTGAGATAAGAATATAACAAGAATAGAAGCGGGGCAAAGAGGATGGAAATACTAACAGCTTCCATGAGTTACTTAACTCCAGCTTCAGAGACTTTATAGAGTCGAGTTTATGTTGGAATAAGCTTGAAAGAAACTTGAAGTGCAAGTTTCCTAATCCTAATCAAAGTGTGTTTTTAGAAGATTAGGATTAGAAAAAGAAATTTAAGAGTTATCTAAAAAAAAATTTAGGAGTTATCTAAAAGAAAATTTGTTTATCTATTGGAATTAGGAGTTAGCTAATTCATTCTCTATATAAGGAGTTGCAGAGTTGTTGCAAACACTTATGAGTTGAGAGAGAGAGAGATTTGAGAGCCTTTAGTTTTTGAGTGATTTTTCTAAAGGAAATAAAAGAAGTTGCTTTTATTAATTCTTGATCTAAGTTTTAATTCTATAATTGGTAGCAGAGCTTCAGGTTGTTTCTCAGGATATGGGGGATATCGTTCCTAGTACTCGTACAAAAGCACTGAATACTTCCTCAATCCATTGCCCTATGTTAAACTCAACCAACTATACCGTATGGGCCATGCGAATGAGGGTTTTGCTCAGAGTACACAAGGTCTGGGAGACTGTTGAAAAAGAGGCGGCCGATGGTGAGAATAATGATGTTGCTATGGCCTTGATCTTTCAATCAGTACCCGAGATGCTCATTCTACAGGTAGGAAAGTTAGACACGGCAAAAAAAGTATGGGATGCAATCAAATCAAGACATGTAGGAGCAGAAAGGGTGCGAGAAGCAAGGTTGCAGACTCTTATGGCCGAGTTTGACAAACTCAAGATGAAGGACACAGAGATGATAGATGATTTTAGTGGAAAATTGTCCGAAATCTGCTCAAGGTCGGCTGCTTTAGGAACAACTATTAAGGAACCGAAGATTGTCAAGAAGTTTCTCAAAAGTCTTTCGAGAAAGAAATATATACACATGGTAGCTTCACTTGAGCAGGTATTATACTTGAACACCACAAGCTTCGAAGACATAATCAGAAGACTAAAAGCCTACGAAGAACGTATTCGAGAAGAAGAAGAAGAAACGCAAGACGATCTAAGCAAACTCATGTACGCAAACATGAAACCTCAGGAAAATTGTGACTACAGTGGAGAGAATAGAGGCAGAGGTCAAGGAGGACACTTTTATAGCATAGGACGAGGTCATGGACGATTTCATGGAGCCAGAGATTTGTCGGAGATAATATGTTATCGATGCGACAAAACAGGGCATTACACTTCTAATTGCCCTGACAGACTTGTCAAACTTCAAGAGACTCAGGAAGACAAAGACGTTGATGACACACATGAAGCTGATCGACTCATGATGCACGAGGTGGTGTATCGGAATGAGAAAAGGGTGAAGCCAAACAAGTTTGAAAAAAGTCGCGAAGGTGACAATGTTTGGTATTTGGATAATGGTGCTAGTAACCATATGACTGGAAACCGAAATTATATTTCAAAGATTGACGAGACGGTCACAGAAAAAGTAAGATTCGGCGATGACTCTCAGATAGACATAAAGGGGAAAGGATCGATCCTCTTTGTCAGTAAAGATGGAGGGAAAAAAGTGCTTGCTAATGTCTATTTCATACCAGATTTAAAGAGTAATATCATCAGTTTGGGACAAGCAACAGAGGCTGGATGTGATGTTCGGATGAGAGGAGATTATCTGACATTACATGATCAAGATGGAAGACTCCTTATGAAGGCACACTACAAGAAATATGGGTATTAATAGCATCATACGATAGCGTTATTGACAAACATGCTATTGTAGACGGGGACGGGATTTGTTCATAGCGTTTATAATTATGAAACGCTATAGATACTATCGCGGGAAAATGAAAACTTTTAGCCGCCTAAATTTGGTGAGTGCGGGCACCTTAACATTGCAGATGAAAAAAAAACGCTATCGTATTTGTCAAATATCTTCAAATGTAAATAAGTTTATTTTTTTTATTCATCTCTCAAGTGACTCTCTTCTCAGACAATCTGTAACTCTCTCTCTCTGTCTTCATTTCTCTCACTCTCTCTTCTCAGACAATCGAATCAAATCGAATCGAAGATTCAATACTCGAATCGAAGATTCAATACTCGAATCGAATCGAAGCTTCAATACCATCAAATCGAATCGAAGCTTCATTGTGGATCGAATAAAAAAGGTTTGTTCTCACTCGAATTGAAGCTTCATTGTTTATCGATTTTGGTATTTTAGAATGCATGTTGAGTTTGAGTTGTTATCTATTTGCAAAGGATTGAAACATGCATCTTGGATTTTGATTTTTGGGGTTTTGAATCTGAGTTTCATCATGTTGGATTTTGATTTTCGGGGTTTTGAATCTGAGTTTCATTTCGTTTATTCAGATATGGCAAAGACAAGAGGAGGAGGACAAGTTGGTTCCCGTCGTAGTCGACGTAATCAAGGCTTGGAGGCCACACCTGCAACAACACTAAAGGTAAAGAAAGGAAAAACTGGTACTAAGAAAAGAAATGGTGGTAGAAAAAAGAAAGTGCCATGTGAAGAGGTAGAAGATGCTCCACCGCAACCTATTAGCTTGTCAGCTTCGAATGGGGAAGATGATGATAATGAGGAGTCCGGAGATGAAGTTTCTAAGAAAGAAATTCCTGAGAAAGCTGTTTCAGAGAAAGATTCTAATCATGAAGCTCCTGAGATAGAAGTTTCTGAGAAGGAAGCAGAAGATGGTTTGAATACTGGACAGGAACATAATGGAAATGAAGAAGAAGCTGTCAATATGGAACAAGATGGAGTTAGCAATGGTAACACTGATGATGTAGCGAAAGAAAAAAAGAGAAGAGGATCAACTAAGATGCGTAAGGTGGCTGAAAATCCTCAAGAAAAGGTTGAAGTTACATTCACTGACTGTGGTGATCATGTTGGACCTGGTTCAGTAACATTATCATCTTTTCTCGGTCCTCTTGTGAGGGAACACGTTCCCGTTACACTTCCTGATTGGAGAAAACTTGATGCAGTGACAAGAGACACAATGTGGGAGCAAATTAAGGTATATTTAATTTGCATTTTAGTTTCTCTGAAAAACTACATATGAAATTGTAAACATGTTTGACCTCTGCAAATTTTGATGCAGGGGAGGTTTAACGTGCATGAAGAGTGGCAGAAAGCTGTTATTATTAAGCAGTTGGGAAGTTTGTGGAGGGCTGGTAAGTCAAGGCTAGTAACAGAAGTAAGATCTGCGAAGACTGCTGGTGATAGATTAGCTTTAAAACCCAGCAACATCCCATCCATTCAAATATGGAACTCTTGGGTTAGGAGCAAGTGTAGCACAAATTTTAAGGTTAGTTAGCAATGTTTAATAAGTTACTTTCTTGTTTACATGTGATGTCTTATAGATGTACACTGACTCAGATTTGTATTGTAGGTAATAAGTGACAAGTACAAAGAGCTGAGAAGAAATCAGATTCCTCACACCACCAGTCGCAAAGGAATGCTTCGATTAGCTGATGATATGGTAAAACAGTTACTCGAACATCTATATTATTAATTACTTGAGAATAAAAAATGGTACTAACATATGTCTGTATTTTATATAGAGAAAAAAGAGTAATGACCCACGTAAGGTAACTAGGAGTAAGATATGGATTGCAGGACACACTCATGGTGATGGTAGACCTGTGAAGCCTCAATTTGCTGATACTATTGTAAGATTTCTTAAATTTGAGATATTGTGTACAGTTAATGGATTATGATCATTGAGTTAACATCTGCACATATGTTTGTATCAGGAACAAATACGGTCACTTGATAGTCAAATGGACTCTACATCAGCTTCTGAAAATATCAGGGAAGATGCGGTGAGCAAGGTTTTGGGAAAAGACAAACCTGGCCGAGTAAGGGGGTTTGGCAGAGGGATTACAGCTACTAAGCTAGCGTTTCTGCATTCTAGAGACGCAAAGATTGCTGATATGGAAAGTGAGATTAGAGAGTTAAAGGGAATGGTCCACGACTTAGCTGGGAAGAAGGTAACTATTTACATATGTCAGTTGGTTAACTAGTATTATGACATTTAATAATTCATTGTCCTTCTGTCAGAAAAGTAATGGTGATCCTGAAACATTTGCGAGTAGTGGGTGTATGAAAGAAGGAGTGAAAGTAGAAATACTGGATTGGTTTGACTCAACAGATGTTGTGATTGGTGCTGGCTAATTCTGCTCTGCTGAGCCGATGTACAAAATTGGTCGTGTACCAATTGGTCCCAATGCAGTGGCTATTGTTGTCAAGTCTGCATTATCCCCAGGAGCTTCTCTTTGGAGGCCTTCAATAGATATGTCATCTATTGAGCAAGCTGTGGGATGCAAAATAGCCTGGCCAATAGACAAAGTGATTTTAGACAAGGCTCCAAACTCTTCGGTCGATGTATCAAAGGTAAAGTTAGTAAATAGTGTGGTTTGTAATTCCTTGCAATATCTCTAATCATTAGCTTTTTACATTTTAGCAAACCGATGACAATGAGATTCGAAGATGCAAAATATTTGATTGGACTAATGAAGAAGAGGAGGTTATTGGTGAAGGAATCATGTGCTCATCTAATTCAAAAGAGATGGTTAACAATATACCTCTAGGTCCGAATGCTGTTAGTATTGAAGTTGTGAAGGTGTATAAAAATGATGCTTATTTGTGGAGGCCAACCGCTGAATTGTTCACGTTTGGTGATGCAATTCACGAGAAAATCGCATGGCCAGTCCTGAAGGTTGAAATCATGTCTGCAGATGCAACACCTACCAAAACAGCGGAGCCAAATGCATATGAGCCAAATGCATCTGAGCCAAAATCAGTGGTATGCTATTTATATGAAGTTTGATTATTTGTTTGTCTGTTGTATTGATGTTTGTACTTGATTCTATTTTTCTGGTTTGAATTGTAGAGTCCAGGCAGCAATAGTTCCACCAAAAGTGGACATACTAAGTGTTTTCTTTTAGATTGCAACAACTCTGGACGCAAGGTAGCTGAAGGAAGAGTATCTTCAACGGATCCGAACGATGTGTGCCACTTTGTACCCTTAGGTCCAAATGCAAGCAAGGTTTGGGTTGAAGTTGCTAAGATTAGTACTGCAAAGGTTTGGAGACCAACTTCAGAGATTGCATACATTTCTGATGCGATAGGTTCAACTGTTGCATGGCCAAATGACAAAATATTGTTCATTTGAACTTAAGACATGGTTTGGTAGTCTAAGATGCTGGTCCGGTTATGTTTTATTTCTACGGTTATATTTCATGTCCAAGTCTAAAACTTAATGTATTGTGGTACTTATGTACTTTTCTGATACTTATGTTATCTTATGTGATATTATGAATAAGTGTGGTCGTGACAAAAAAAAAATTACTAAGTTTGGGTTTTTAAAAATTTTGAATTTAAAAAGATGGAAATAATATGACAAAATTAACTGACATTGTATAAAAATACCTATTCCCTAATCCCTAAATTATTTAAGAATAATGAACTGAAATTAATTTAAAATACATACACCCTAAACCATACCCTAAAGTGCTAGAATATTAAACATTAAAGCATACCCTAAAGTGCTATACCCTGAAGGATTTTTTGTAAACTCTATACCCTAAACCATACTAAGTTTATACCTAAAATTAATTTTTGGATTATATGAATTGATTCTGTAAAACCTAAACCATACTTAAAAACTTCTTTGTACATATACAACTAAGTGTTTGAGTAAACTCTATTCCCTAAAGTGCTATACCCTAAAGGATTTTTTGTAAACTCTATACCCTAAACCATACTAAGTCTATACCTAAAATTAATTTTTGGATTATATGAATTGATTCTGTAAAACCTAAATCATACTTAAAAACTTCTTTGTACATATACAACTAAGTGTTTGAGTAAACTCTATACCCTAAAGTGCTATACCCTAAAGGATTTTTTGTAAACTCTATACCCTAAAGTAATATATCTCATATTGTTTGTATTATATATTTTGAATTATGAATGTAAGATATAAGAAAAAATATTACAAAATTTAAATACTGATTCGTATAAATTTTGATTTTTTTTGGATTATATACGTATTTTCTTTAATTCCCTAAACCAATTTTAAAACATAAAAATTGGTATAAATAGATTAGCCAATGAATCAATTATACGCAGATCGTAGACGTGGCATTTTCTACACCGTTAGATATAAGCCGTTCTTTAGTGATCTTTGATCTGAGCCGTTTTCTCCACTATTGCATCTCTAATATGAGCCGTTCTTTACTGATGAACGAGTTTAACCGGGAAAAGCTGAATTTCCGAAAAATTTGTCTGAAATATTTTTGGCAGCGACGAAAAAAAAAGTAACTCAATCTTTCACAACACAATCTCTCGATCTGTCAATCTCGCCTTATCCCATATTCTTCACAACACAATCTCTCGATCTGTCAATCTCGCCTTATCCCACATTCTTCGTAACACAATCTCTAAATTTCTCGATTTCTCCTTATCCCACACCACATTTTTCGTAACACAATCTCTGAAATTTCTCGATCTCAGTCGTTTTCATATGGACAAGGCATGGATTTTTCTGCCAAGGTTTGATCTTGTTAACACTTACACTTATATTTCGCAATCTCGCCTTATCTTGTTTGTCTAACTTTTATTTAACATGTAGGAACACTGTTGAGTACTCAGAAGGAGCAACTAATTTCGTGAATTCATCGGCAAGAAGATTAGGTAATCTGTCTGAAATGCTATGCCCCTGTAGAGATTGCCGGAATTTAAGCCATCAGTTATTAGATAAGATTGTTGAGCATCTAGTCATTAGGGGTATGGATATGAAGTATAAGAGTTCTTGCTGGAGTATTCATGGCGAGAAAAGAGATGATACAGAAGATATTGCTCCTGGATCTGAAACTGAGGCTTTTGAATTGCTAAAGACAGCATTTCGTATAGGTGAAGGTAATCAAAGTAAGACGCATGACACTGAAGAGAATGAAGCTGTAGACGAAACTGAATTCAGGACAAAGTTAAGAGAAGCTGAAACTCCATTGTACTCTACTTGTGTCAAATACACAAAGGTTGCAGCAATCATGGGACTCTACAGAATCAAAGTTAAGAGTGGTTTGTCTGAGAACTACTTTGATCAGCTGTTGGTTTTAATTCAAGATATGCTACCTGAAAACAATGTTCTTCCGAGGAGTACAGACGCAATCAAAAATTTTCTGAAGGTCTTCGGTTTTGGCTACGACAATATTCATGCTTGTAAGAATGATTGCATACTGTATAGGAAGGAGTTTGAAAAGCTAGAAAGCTGTCCAAGATGCAAAGTTTCTAGATGGGAGAAGGATAAGCACAGTAATGCGCTGAAGATAGGGATTCCAGCGAAGATCCTTAGATATTTTCCAATCAAAGACAGATTTAGGAGGATGTTTAGATCAACAAGGATGGCTGAGCATATGCGTTGGCATTCTACAAATGGCACTGAAGATGGTACAATGCGACACCCTGTTGATTCTATATCTGGGGCACAAGTTAATGACAAATGGCCAGACTTTGCTGCAGAACCAAGGAATCTTAGACTTGGACTTTCTACAGACGGGATGAACCCTTTCTCCTTGCAAAACACCAATCACAGCACATGGCCAGTGTTGTTGGTGAACTACAACACGCCTCCAACAATGTGTATGCGGGCTGACAATATAATGTTAACTTTGCTGATCCCTGGTCCAACAGCTCCTGGTAATAACATAGATGTCTACTTAGCACCATTGATTGAAGATTTACAAGATTTGTGGTCTGAGGGTATTGAAGTGTACGACTCATTTGCAAAGGAGAACTTTACACTTAGAGCCATATTGCTTTGGAGTATCACTGACTATCCAGGCTTGGGAGTATTGTCTGGATGTAAAGTGAAGGGGAAACAAGCTTGCAACGTCTGTGGAAAGGATACTCCTTGTAGGTGGCTTAATTTTAGCCATAAGTATGTATACATGGGAAATAGAAAGAGACTACCGCCTGGCCATCCTTACAGATATAAAAAAGGCTGGTTTGACAACACTGTTGAATTTGGGAGTGCCAATAGGATACAGACAGGTTCTGAAATATATGAGACAGTAAAGGCGTTTAGGAATGACTTTGGAAGACCTCTACATAAGGAAAGAAAAAGAAAAAGAACAGATTTGGAAGATGATGAGCTGGTTGAAGAAGAAGAGTGTGAAGAATCAAATGATCTATGGCGATGGAAGAAGAGATCAATATTCTTTGAACTACCTTATTGGAAGGTAAAGTAGAGTAACTATAAACTATATTCTCAGATTGCTGTACACGTATATGCATGCCTAACAGTTTATTGTGTACTGTCTTAGGAATTGCCTGTTCGTCACAATATTGATGTGATGCACGTAGAAAAGAATGTCTCGGATGCTATATTGTCTACCTTGATGCTAAGTGCCAAGTCGAAAGATGGTTTGAAATCAAGAAAAGACTTAGAAGATATTGGAATCAGAAAGCACTTACACTCAGAGGTTAGGGGAAAGAAAACATACTTACCTCCAGCAGCCTATTGGTTATCCAAGAAAGAGAAGACCATTTTTTGCCAAAGGTTAGCTATGTTTAGAGGTCCTGATGGTTATTGTGGTAATATTGCTAATTGCGTTTCACTTAGCCCTCCTAATATAGCTAGTTTGAAGTCGCATGATCATCATGTCCTAGTACAAAACTTGTTACCAGCTGCGTTAAGAGGGTTGTTACCTAGAGGACCTAGGATTGCCATTACCAGATTATGCAATTACTTTAACAGATTGTGCCAGCGTAGCATTGACCCGGAGAAACTTTTATTAATGGAGACTGAGTTTGTGGAAACAATGTGTCAAATGGAGCGGTTCTTCCCTCCATCCCTGTTTGATATCATGTTCCACCTTCCAATACATCTATCAAAAGAGGCACGATTAGGAGGACCAGTACACTTTCGCTGGATGTATCCCTTCGAAAGGTTTGATGTACTCAATTACTTCACTACTGTATGTATTTCCTCAACTAATGTTAGTATAATATTTCATATATCTTGACTGAATTGTAGGTACATGAAAAAACTAAAGGCTTATGTTAAGAATCATGCAAAGCCAGAAGCATGTATGGCTGATGGGTATTTATCTGAAGAATGCATTGCATTTTGTTTAGAGTTCCTTCAAGATTCAGTACCAGTTCAAGAA